TTTTATTTCTTTAATCCATTAGCTCATCTGTTTCTTTTGATTGGTGAGTAGAGGCCATATATTTAGAGTTATTATTGAAAGGTATATATAGATTGCAGTCATTTTGATCTTTTTTTTTGCTGGTTTGTTGGTTGTAGTTTGTCTCTTCTCCCACCCCCACCACCCTCAGGATCTTTTGGCTATGCTATTCCTCTCTTCAGTTTGAAGTATTGCTTCCAATATTCTGTTTAGTGTTTTGTTGTTATTGTTGGACATGAATTGTTTTTTGGCTGTTTCAATCATGGAAAGTTTTTCTTTCTTTTTTATCTATGCAAATAGCTTTTCTGGTTATATTAGTCCAGTTTTGCAGTTGTGGTCTTTTAGAACTTGGAGTGCATTGCTGTAGGCTCTTATGGTTTTCAAAGTTTCCATTGAGAAATCAGGTTTTATTCTAATAGGCGTTCCTATATATGTGACTTGTTGGGGGGGGTTTCTTCTTCTTCTTCTTCTTCTTCTTCTTCTTCTTCTTCTTCTTCTTCTTTCTTCTTCTGCTTCTTCTGCTTCTCTTAACATCTTTTCATTTTTGTTTTATTTGTTGGGTATGCTTAGTGTTTTAACTGTAATATGTTTTTGCATGTTTCCTTTCTGTTCTTGTCTGTTTGTTGTTCTGTGTGCTTTTTATATCTATAGGTTTGTCTTCAGTTCAGTTTTTTAATTAAATTTTTATTTTTTTTAATGTTAGGTACAGTTTATTAACTTTGTATCCCAGCCGTATCCTGCTCCCTTATTCCCTCCCAATCCCAACCTCCGTCCCTCATCTTCCCCCTACCCCTTCCAAGTCTGGGCAAGTGTTCTTCTATCATCCTGTTAAAGATCTGGTCTATGCCATTGAATGTCCCGGAATCCTTCTCGATCTTCTATACCTGTAATTCTAAGATTTGATCTTTTTGCTACTGTCCCACACTTCCTGTATGTTCCTTTCTTGTATTTATTAAAATTTTTCATTTTCTTTGTTTTTTTAGTCTATATCCTTTTGTGTTCTAGTCAAGATATCTTTGTCTATTTGACTCATTGTACTTGCAAACTTCCCTGAGTTTTCTAATTGGCATAATGAGTTTTTCAATTACATCTTCATTTCAGCTAGCATTCTCATCAATGTTTCTTTTTATTCAATTCCAGTTTTCAAATCCTGAATTATTTCTGTTATTTCATTCAGCTATGTGTAATTTCTTAGACAGCGCTCATTGTTATCCTCTTGGAGTTCAATGAAGTATTTGTATCTTTTTTAAATTCCTTGAAATCTTTGATAAAGTTTATTATTATACTTTTAAGTTTTATTTCTTGAGGTTCATCTAGGTAGTTCTCATTACAGAACACTTCTGTAGGACTGTTGGGTTTGATGGAAGACATGCTGTTTTGACCAGTCATGCTGTTTTTGTTTTTCCATTTGACTTGAGTATGTGGTCTCCCAGTGTTGGTTGTAATTGATGTGATAATCTGGCTTTCCATGTGGCAGATGTGCAACCTGAACTAGGCCACGTAAAGCTGGTGGGTTAGCTATTTAACTGGACCAAGGAGAGGTGGCTTCGAACCCATTGGCCTGGGGCTAGGCCAGGCAAAGGGAGTGGCTAAATGAAAAGGGTTTATACCCTCAGGTCTAGAACTAACTTTTTGATTTTGCAGATGTATCAGATATGCCTAGTTTCTTGACATGCTGTCTCTTCCTAATAAGGTTATCTTGCTAATAGGTATGAAAATACCCACTGTTATGTATGTCTTTTAAACTTTTTATGTGTTTCATATTTAGTGTTTAATGTATGTTTTATTTTGTAGGCTGGTCTTGTGGTAAAACTGCTGATGAAGTTAAATGGACAACTAATGCCCCCTGAAAGAAATTCATGAAAAGAACATAGCTGGTACTCAAGCCAGCACATTTTGTAATGCAGAGTTTTTTTCCATGAAAGATTTCGTAAAATATGGCTTTACAAAGCATGTAGTCTCATGTAGTATGTATATGCTGTTACATACATTGTACAGAATCTGTACTCATGTTTGGTGTGTAATATACCACTTAGTTTTGTATGATATGCTCATAAGCTCTTCTAATTTTTGAGAGAAACACATGAAAATAGATTGGCAGTCTGTATTAAACAAAATAGTAAGCTTTATAAAAAGTTATTTTCAGTAAATAGTAAAGAATTTAGTGTGGAATGTGATGAAATTAAAATATAGCTTTGATATAATTTTGTGTGTTACTTAAAAATATACTGAAAACCAACATGATTTCAATAAATAAAATGTATTTTGTATTTGGATCTATTCCTTAAAGCATTTCTTCTGTAATCTATGAACATGTTTCAGGGTGTCTTTAAAAGTCTTGATTAAAGGTGTATCTATACCAGACAGCGTCCTCCAAGTGCTCTCGCCGCGCTTCTTGCATCAGTTTGCTGTCTTCACACTGATTCAGACCCCAGAAGTCCACTCTGCACATCCATTCATTCTTTGGAATTACCAGGGATGGACGGGAATAATTTCTCAGTTTTAAATCTCATATCTAATAAGGACTTTATATTAAATTAGATCACTGGCTGCCATGCAAGCACACATACACTCGACGTAACAATTTCTAGATGTCAGTAGTTGAACTTGCTAAGTGTATGCTATATTTTTGTGTCTTAACTTAATGCCTTACTTGTATTGCCTTTGCATTATAGGAGCTGAGTCCTGATATCAGTGAAGGTTCACAGCTGTAGACGTGGCAGCAACAGCGTAGGTTTACTCACAAGCAAAAAGTGAAGGCAGGCAAGCAAGCAAGCAAGCACTCCTTTATATACAGGCTACCTGTCAGTATAGAGGAGTACCTCACCTCAGGACCTCCTGCAAATGCCCTCATTGGCCCATGCAGCAGAATTTCATATTGAACTTAGAATCAAATTCTAAATTTTATAATATTGAACACAAGCCTCTTTTTTTAAAAAGAACATTAAATTTATTCTTTCGCAGTTTCATATGTATTTAATACGTTGCGTTCACTCTCAGCACTACCACCCTCGCCTCCCATTACTGTCAGTCTCCTTCCTAGAGAGCCCTTTCCCATATCCATGTAGTTTTGCTTCATTGTGTGGCACTGATTTTAATCAGAACTGCCTGTGACCATGGGTATAGAACTCTCCGGTGGATCCTGGTGGGCTCACCAATGGGGTCACATCTGGAGATTGACTTCCCTCCCCTAGAACCCTTCAGTATCCAAGAAGTAGTTCAGCAGGGAAGGGTCGGACCCTGACTTCTTCCGCAGTCCATGACTGGCTATTGAAAGATTTAATCTTGTACAGACCCTGTGCATGCAGCCAGAGCTACTATAGGTTGCTATGCCATCCATGCCCAGATCATATTTCACTACTCTTGCCTCTATCTTCCTGCTTTTACATTCATTCTGCCTCTTTTGTGGTATTCCCTGAGCTTTAAAGGTGGTATAAATGTCCTATTTAGGTCTGAGCACTCAGTTGTCCCTTTTTAGCCGCATCTTGGGCAGTCAAGAATCTCTTCATTCATTACTGTTTATTGTGAAGAGAAGCTCTCTAGTTAAGGCTGAGTCATATTTGTCTGTGCATACTGTTCTAGGTTGCTTTTCTGCTGTGTGATAAAGAACTGGCCAAAGCAACCTGGGGAGAATAGAGTTTATTTCAGCTTGCAGCAACTGAAGCATAGACCATGTAGGAATGGCGCTTCCTGGCTTGCTCATCTGACTTTATTATATAGAGCCCACCTGCTGAGGGGTGGCACTTCCCACAGGGAGGTAGGGCCCAGTACACCAATGAGCAACCAAGAAAATGTCTCACTGGCATGCCCACAGATCACTGGGGGAAACAGTTTTTCAGTTGAGGTTCCCTCTTGCTGGGTATGTCAAGTTGGCTAAACAAGATTAGCTATCATTGATATAAACAAAGATGCTTAGAAGCTAGTTTGATGCCGTGTCAACTTGGGTGAACAACAGTAGGAAGTTACCCCTCCCAAAATCGTATGACCTTCATAGCCATGAACTTTTAAGTGGATTTACAGTACTAGAGGCAAATTTCTTTTTGCAGAGCAGGCTGTAAGTCCAACCAGAATGGTTTGCTGTGCCTTTAACAGTTATTGCCACTGGTGCATTGGTATTGTAACTCATAGGGTTCACAGCTGGAACTGTGTATTGATGCTTTCCTACCCCGGCATCTTAAATAGAACCAGCATTATGAAAGCAAACCAGCAAGAAGGAAAGATCCAGCTTGGTTTCTCTATATCTTGCAGCCAAGGTGTATAGCTGTCACTAATACGGTCTTACCATTAAGTTCTGGTGGACAGCCAAGAGGCATGACAAAAGCCGTTTTGGGAGCCTTTGGGGCCTCCTTCGCAACAAGTCAAAGGGAGATATCACACCTGGCATTAGCATTTATATTTAACACTCAGTGGCTTCTAGGAGCAGCCGTATACAGCCAAGCAGGATATCTTACAAGGTTTTTTTTTTTGTTTTTTTTTTTTACTTATATATTTTAAATTGGCTTACAAAATAGGTTTCCATATAGCTTTTTCATGCATGCTTTATTTTGATTAACCTCCACATGTCCCTCTTCTTCCCACCCTCTTCCCTGCTTAAACCTTTCCATCTGCTTTATACCTACACATTGCCTGTGTTATAAGACCCCTTTCTTACAACATCCCCTTTCAGGGGTCCCTCACTAGTTTACTGGCTTCTACAAGGTACTTGAAGTTAGACACAATTCAGTCTAGGATCTACAAATAAGAGAGAACATTTGGCCTTTGTACTTTTGAGTCTGGGTTGCTTCAGTCACTGAAATTTTCCAGTTCCATTCATTTTCCTTCAATTTTCATAATTTTTTAAACAGATGAATAGAATCCCATTGTGTGTGGATGGATGGATGGATGGATGGATGGATGGATGGATGGATGGATGACAGACAGATAGATAACTGTTGCAACCCACGTGGTCGTCTCGCCAGCAAGAACGCACATGGACAATAGGATCCTTCTGCAGCAAGCTTTATTGCAGTCAATTGATGAGAGGAGGAAGACCCCAACCCCCAGAATGGTGCTGCTTAACTACCCCCTGCGGCGGCGTGTACTCCGCTGGTTGGCTGCTTGCCCATTGCCCCGTGTGACGCCCAGGGCTGGGCAGTAACGCCCCGGGCTGGGCAGTGACTTGGCGCGCTTTTGCAACTGGCACATGCGCTCTATTACTTGTTCACTAGGGCTGAAGCCGGATGTCGGCGCCATTTCGTAATGGCGATTGCATTCTCTCGGCTCTCCACATCTCCCCCTTTTTGTTTTAATAAATGAAAACTGTCTCAAAGCCTTGTAAGCGCGGCACAATAAAGCCCTAAGCTCGATCAAGCGAATTCCTTCTTTGGGGAGTAAGCGATCAAGAGCTTTAGATTACTCCCTTACCCCACCAGACAAGTCCTCTGGGTGCAGGGGCTAAAGGAGAAGATTAAAAAATGGAGGTGACACCCATTCCCGTGCAATGGAATAAAATTCCAGGGAGTGCAAGGGCAGTCATCCTCCTATCTAGGTACCATAGCCGCTTAGGCGAAGGCAACATTGTGACTTGGATCACTCATCGACTCAGTGCAATGGGTAAAACCCCTTGAGGTGCATCGTCTGAGTGTCAGTCTGTTTTTATTTTTTAACATGGATAACCAAATTTCGGGAGATGATCCTTGCTCCAAGGCCACAAGTGCTTGTGCAATCACGACCTTGTCACGTTGTTGTTGGGCTTTGAGCTTGCAGACCAACCAAAGTAAGAACACTAGACCGCAAACTAAAGCAGTGCCAAACAGGCCTACCCCCACCCACTCTTTAAAGAATGAAAAGGCTGAAGAAACCCAGGAGGAGAGTCCTTCAGTCAACGACAGGTCCAAGCGCGTTGCATTAATGGCCATCATCGCAGCTCGTAGGCGCTCCAAAGTCTCATCGAAATTTTCCGACCAGTTTCCTTGAAGATACAAAGACAATTGTCTAGACAAGTTGGCTGCCTTAGTAAGATTTTCATATTGAATGCTAGTTATACATAGTGCTTCAAATTTTTTCTCACACCCCAATTGGGCCAGCTGGAAGAGGATCCCTAACCGCTCCTCAACCAGATCTATGCGCTGGTTAACAACCATGAGTCCGCCCTTCAATTGGGCTGAGGTAAAGCCATGTGTATTGAAAGCTTCAGCAACAGTGGCCGAAAGCTTATTAAATGTAGAATCTACTTGCACTGTTTGAGACATGGCTATGGCCGCAGTGGTCGCAGCCACTGCACTCAAGGATATTGCTGTGACTATGGCAGCAGTAATGCCAAAGTCTCTTTTCTGTCTGAATAAGGACATGGTGGAGGTAGTTTCCACTGGCACAGGAATCCATTGAGGTACTTTAGCTATCAATGCATGGGTAAACCGTCGTGAATTCCAACATTGTGATATTGAACAAGTTTCGTTAGTACAATTTTGAAAAGGTCCGTTAGTCAAAATGAACATAAAGGGAGGATAAACACAAACCGGGGTGGGCGAGTAGTTAGTATGATTAATTATAGTTTTAAGAAGTTGAACAACCCTTGTTGTGGAATTTATAACTACGTAATGGCTGTGAGTGAGATTTTCCTCTTGTGTAAAGTTAGATTCCAGAACAAACCGTGACTTCCCTCTGGACCCACCTTGGAGAAGACTCATGGGGTTAAGATCCGTGCAACTCCCATTAACCCCGCAAAGCAGCCATATGTCAAAGGGATTCCTCCTTAAACTTTGTGAGAAGAGCCCCTGTGCCATAATATAGTCCTTTCTTGGGTCAGCCATCATATCAGGAGAAAAGGTAAAGGTTTGGGCCTGGTCCGCCCAGTGAATTACTGGGGATTGACAAGCCGTCCAAGGTGGGTCCTGATCCTCACTATTCCCAACACAAAAAGGGGCTATTTTGGGCTGACGGGGGCAAGTTGTGTCATGGGAATTGGATTTATTAACACTGGGTGGCAAAAATGTGCCATTAATCCAGGTAACCTCGTACCAAGAGCGGAGATTATAATAAGTGTAATTTTTTTTATCGGATTGCATGATGTCTTAAGTGTTGCAATCTGTCCCCGTCGATTAAGAGAAAACAGCCCTAAGGCTCGGTGTGTGAGGTTAATACATTTACCCACACCCTTATCCTCCAATTGAAAACATAAGGAGCCTTGTTCCTGAAAGGGACGATTTTCACCCAACGGGGCTACGATTGTATCGTATGGGAGATAGGGCAAGTCCAATGTCTTATTAGTTGTAAAGAATTTTGGAAACACTTTCGCGTTGTGCCTAACAGGCATGGGTTTTGGAAAAGCAGAAAGAATTGCCCATAGTTGTTCCCCTGTAATACTAGGAACCCAGATCGGGAGGATCCAAACCAACACTAGGAGCTTCCGTAGACTTGTCTCCTTGGGTGTCATCTTCAGGTACCACAAGCCTCCGTGTCAGGCGCTCCGGTAACCAAAAGGGATTATCTTCCTCCTGTGGAAAGACACAGATAGCTCCCCTGGATCTTATTAAAATAGGATCCGGGCCTTTCCATTGACCAGTCAGGACATCTTTCCATTTAACCATTTCTTTTGGTCTATCGGGCTCTGAGCAGTGACGATCTGCCGCGGACCAGCCCTGATTGTCCAAATTTAAAAAATTCCTTAATTTTTTAAGAGTGCTATAGAGATAGTCACTCGTGGTACTGAGGGCAGAGCCTCCTCGACCCCCCCTTTTTGTTTTATTAAATAAGATTTGAGTGTGCGATGAGCTCGCTCTACAATTCCTTGTCCCTGAGGGTTATAGGGGAGGCCAGTCAGGTGGGTTACTCCCATCTGGCGACAGAATTGTCCAAATTTTCGAGAGGTGTATGCTGGTCCATTATCAGTCTTAAGGATTTTAGGCTTTCCCCAGGCACTCCATGCCTCGAGGCAATGTTGAATAACATGGGTAGCCTTTTCTCCTGCTAGTGGAGAGGCAAACATAACTCCAGAACAGGTATCAATAGAGACATGTAAGTATTGTAATTTGCCAAATGATGGGATGTGAGTAACATCCATTTGCCAAATTTGTAATGGACGGATTCCCCTAGGATTAATTCCAACATGAGGCATAGGTAAGAATTGACAACAATTTTGACATTGGGTTACTATATTTCTAGCTTCTTTTCTAGTTATGTCAAATCGACGATGCAGCGTCTCAGCTGTGACATGAAACCTTTTATGAAACTCCTTAGCCATTTCCAATTTTGATAAGAGGGCGAACCCAATTAATTTTGTGGCTCGATCTGCCAAATCATTTCCATGAGACATAGGCCCCGGCAGGCCTGAGTGGGCTCTAATATGTGTAATAAAAACAGGTGATCTTCTATTAATCAAGGCAGAATGAATCCTTTGAAAAATTTTTGCAAGTTTACTAGATGCCTTAATTAACCCAGCAGCTTCCAGAATCTTTGTGGCATTAACCACATAACAGGAATCCGAAACAATGTTTAAAGGACCCAAAAATTTCTCCAAAACTTCTAATACCACTAGACATTCTACAATTTGGGGCGAGGTTTCATGATATTGTTTAGAAACAACCTTGTTATTAGCCACATAGGCTCCCACACCTGTCTTTGACCCGTCAGTATACACTACTAACCCATCCCGAAGAGGTTCTGCGGAGGTGATGCGTGGGAACACAACTTCTTGCGTCAAAGCAAATTGTAAAATGGGATGTTTAGGATAATGATTATCTATCAAACCACTAAAAGAGGTGACTAGCACTGCCCAAACGTCTGAGGTAGCAGATAAAGTTTGGACTTGGTGGGCAGTATAAGGCACTATCAGAGCCCTAGGTTCTCTTCCAAAGTGAGTGGTGGCTGCTTTTAAACCACGAAGGGCAAGTTGAGCAATTGCATCTGGATACCATTCAATAATTTTTGCAGGGGAGGCATTGGGATGTACCCACAGTAAAGGCCCATCTTGCCATAGCACCGCTGTTGGCAGATTTTTGGTCTTAAAGACACATAACTCAAAAGCCCTAGTTTCATCTATACGTTTTAACTGAGCATCCTGTAAGGCCTCCTCCACCATGTTTAATACCCGATCCGCTTCGGGAGTCAGTGTCTGAGGTGAAGTAATATGAGCCTCTCCCTCCAAAATGTCAAATAGGGGCTTCAATTCAGTTGATGGAATTTTCAAAAAAGGTCTAAGCCAATTTACATCACCCAGTAATCTTTGGAAATCATTTAGCGTGTGTAAATGATCCCTATGGATCTCTATCTTTTGAGGAACTACATATTCTGGATAAATAACAGTCCCTAGAAAGGAACCTACTTCTGAAATTTGGACCTTTTCAGTAGCAATATGTAAGCCCCATTGTTCTAGAGTTTTTCGTAGCAGAGGATATGCAGTCTGTAAGACAGATAACTCTTTATGGCACAAAAGAATGTCATCCATATAATGGATCAACAGTAAAGAAGAAAATTGTTTTCTAACCGGTTCAAGGGCCATTTGAACATACAGCTGACACATGGTGGGGCTATTGGCCATGCCTTGAGGTAACACTCTCCATTGATATCTTTTGTCTGGCTCATGGTGATTAACAGCAGGTAGAGTAAAGGCAAATCTCTGTCTGTCTTGTGGGCACAGAGGAATGGAGAAGAAGCAATCCTTGATATCTATAATTATGACTCTCCATTGTTTAGGCAGAGCGGAAAGTAAAGGTAAGCCTCGCTGAACAGAGCCAAGAAGCCGCATCTGTGCATTAATGGCCCTTAAATCATGAAGAAGTCTCCATTTTCCAGACTTCTTTTTAATAACAAAAATAGGTGTATTCCAGGGAGAAGTAGATGGTTCCAAATGACCAAGCTGTACCTGTTCTTTAACCAGCCTTGTAGCGGCTTCCAGCTTTTCAGAGGAAAGGGGCCATTGAGGAACCCATACGGCCTCCTCTGTGAGCCAAGATATGGGCATGGAACCCTCAATGGCAGCTAATGAAAACCCAGGCCTTGTTTCCCTGTATTACTTTCCTGTGAAATCGGGTGTAATCTCCCTTGTTCCTGTTTACCAAGGCCTTTTCCTTCCTTATAACCCATCCTTTTCATTATATCAACAGCTTGTTGAGAGTACTCATTGGTCAATGCCAATCCCAAGTCTTGCAAGATGTCTCTTCCCCAGAGATTAACGGGGAGAGGAAGTACATAAGGTATGAAACTTCCTGTCTGACCCTCTGGTGCTTGCCAGGTCAACGGGCGTGAGCTGACTGCAGGGCTGGCTTCATATCCTAACCCTTGTAAGGAATGAGATGATTGTGTGACAGGCCACGCCCTAGGCCACCAATTTGAGGAGATAATGCTCCGGTCAGCCCCAGTATCTAAAATGCCAGTGAAAAGTTTCCCCTCTATCTGTAATTGTAAGGTGGGCCTAGTTTTTAAATCAACCACCAAGTGAGCAAAGTCAGTTCCTGAAGAACCGAACCCTTCGTTGCCCCTTGTCATTCCTGTGGATGGGAAAACATCCTGCAAGCTTGGAAGGAGAACTAACTGGGCAATCCTATCTCCAGGGGAAATGGAAAATACTCCTTGCGGACAAGAACAAAGAACTTGAAGCCCTTCAGTATAATCTTGATCTATTATTCCAGGATGGATAATAAGCCCCTTTAGGGTAAGAGAGGAGCGTCCGAGTATCAGGCCAACACTTACCTCGGGCAGAGGGCCCTCAAACTCAACTGGAACGGGCTGAACACCCAATTGGGGCATCAATAAGAACTGGGAGGTGGAACAGAGGTTCAATCCTGCTGATCCTCCTGTTGCTCTACAGCTGGATAGACCCTCCTGCTGACTGTTTGTGTCCCATATTTTTTGGGGCCCTGGGATCTGGGGCCCTGAAATCCGTTTTTTGGAATATTCTCATTCCTCTCATTAGGGGGGGCTTCATGCTGAATAAGTTTTCCCTGAATATCCCTAACTGAGCGACATTCATTGGCCCAATGATTACCCTTCCTACATTTGGGGCACAGTCCTGGAAGTTTCTTTTGTGCAGTAGCACGGCAATCTCACTTCAAATGGCCTGGTTTACCACAGCTATAGCAGGTTTTATTGCTTCCTGGACCTGAACGGCTCTTGCTCTGCAGGATAGCCGCTGCAAGGCCAGCATTGGTAAGTGGGCCTCCAAGTCCTCGGCAGATCTTTATCCAATCTGTAAGCCCTTTGTTCCTTCTAGGAGTAATGATTGTCTTACATTCTGGGGAAGCATTTTCATATACCAACTGTTCTATCATTGGCCTGACTCACTCCGGATCTCCAAATATTCTACCTGCTGCTTCTGTCATTCTGGCCACAAATTCTGAGAATGGCTCCTGAGGGCCTTGTATAATCTTTGTCAGGTGTCCTCCAGCCTCGCCTTTCTTTGAGAGGGCTTTCCATGCTTTAATAGCAGCCGCAGAAATCTGGCCATATGCCCAAGGGTCATAATTGGTTTGATTGTGTACAAAATGGCCTTGCCCTGTCAGAAGATCGAAGGTCCACTGTCGTTGGGCACCTTCCACACGGGAGTTGACTCCTGCTTGGATCTGAGAGGCGTCATGCCATAGGGCTTTCCATTCTAAGTATTGGCCCATATTAGGAAGAGCGGCCTTTACAGTATTTTGCCAATCGCTCGGAGTCATAGCCACGCCGGCAAGCCTCTCAAGCTGCATAATTGTGAAGTTAGCATCCACTCCATATTTATTAACTGATTCAGCAAGCTCTTTAACAAGGGGGTATTCTACTGGTGCATATGTGCGACCCCCGTCTGCAGCCTCAAAAACAGGAAAAGCCTGAAAAAGTTTTCTTTTGTCCTCTTTTGAAAAAAAAAGAGTCCGATATCCCTACCAGGGGAGCCGAGCCATGTCTTTCCACATAGGGTGGAGGGGCGCTAGGGGCTGATGAGAAAGCCCCATGAACTCTATTTATTGACCCTCCTTTATGTATCCTACCCGGTGGCGGCGACTGTTTATCAGGGTGGTATCTCTCTTCCTCATAAGGAGCCGCCTCCTCCTCTAAGTCCTCCTCCTCAGAGGGACTCAGCTCCTCAGATTCAGAATTATCAAGCCCCAAAGCCTCCAATTCTTTTATTGGATAGAGGGGCCTCTTTTTTGGGTTTTTCCTTCCCGTTTCACCTTTCTCTCCCAGGGCGTCCTTTCCCTTGTCTATCCTGTCTGTGGACTTACCGTCCACAGACGGGCCTTTTTTCTTAAAGATGTCTTTCTCTTTTTCTTTAAGGGCCCTTAACCTTCTATCCCGTTCTGTTTCTGACATGCTGTCTTGTATTTCCTCTAAAACCCCTTGGCCAGCTGCCACAGAGAAGCAGCACTTCCTATCTTCTAAGCAAGATTTTACTAAAATCCACAATGACCTAGTTCCAACTTTTAGCTTCCCATCTTTTTCCTCCCTCCGTAAATCACCTTCTAGCTTATCCCAGGAAGCAAGCGTCAGCAACCCTGAACATACAAACCAGGGAGCAATGCGATCGATTTCTGTAATAAATCCTTCCAACGTTCTTTTTGAAAGCTTTAGTTCATGCTGTTTTAAAAGTGACTGAAGTGCCGTGATCACCGAGTGTGAAGCTCCCATGCTGCTCTCTTATCTACGAGAGAAACTGACACAGGGAGGAGATACCGGGGCTTATTTACGTCCGTCTAACAATACCCAACGGCACATCAAAGGCGGGACACCGCAGGACACCGCGGGACACCGCGGCTTATCTGCGTCCGTCTGACCGTGCCCAACGGCGGCGAGCCTTTTAGCAAGAATATTTGTGGAAGCAAAATAAAACCAAAAGAAGGAGAACGAGCGCTACTATTACAATAGGGAAAGCTACAAGAGCTCCTGCCAATTGGGGTGAAAGATGAGACAATTCAAGACCAGGCATGTCTTACAGAACTTACCTTAGCTCCCCGGCTTTCCCAGGTTTCGGCACCAGTTGTTGCAACCCACGTGGTCTTCTCGCCAGCAAGAACGCACACGGACAATAGGATCCTTCTGCAGCAAGCTTTATTGCAGTCAATTGATGAAAGGAGGAAGACCCCAACCCCCAGAATGGTGCTGCTTAAATACCCCCTGCGGCGGCGTGTACTCCGCTGGTTGGCTGCTTGCCCATTGCCCCGTGTGACGCCCCGGGCTGGGCAGTAACGCCCAGGGCTGGGCAATGACTTGGCGCGCTTTTGCAACTGGCACATGCGCTCTATTACTTGTTCACTAGGGCTAAGGCCGGATGTCGGCGCCATTTCGTAATGGCGATTGCATTCTCTTGGCTCTCCACAGATAACATTTTCATTACGCATTTATCTGTTGGACTTGATCCCATTTCTTGGCTATTGTCAATAAAGCAGCAATGAACATGGATGTCAACACATCTCTACAGAAGGATATAGAATCCTGTGGTGTATATGCCCAAGAGCAGTACAATTGGCATATCTGGAAATTCTACTTTGAGCTTTCTGAAGAACCTCCACACTGATCTTTCCAGAAGCTGCACCAGTCTATCCTCTCACCATCAAGGAACCATTGTTTCTTTTTCTCCACATCTCCACTACCATTTACTGCCTTTTGATTTTTTTTTATAGGCATTTTGGGGTGAGGTGGAATCTCCAAGTAGTTTTAATTTCAATTTCCCTAATGACTATTTGAACTTTGTCTTAAATATTTGTCATGTATAAGGTTTTTTAGTATACAGTCAGTGTATATTGTAACAGGATATATTAAAAGTCAATTCAGATCATCTAAAATGGTACCCTGGCTGCATAGCACATTTGACATTATTGGCCACATGAAAAGGAAAACAAATGGATTTACATTAACTTTTGGCCATTTTAGATTCTGAAAATGTTCATACATCTAGTGAGGCTAACCTTTTTGAAATATTTAGCAGCCGTACATATTCTATTGAGAATTCTCTCTCAGTTCAGATCTACAGCTCATGTTTTATTGGGTTACTTATTTTCTTAGTGTTTTTTTTTTTCTTGAGTTATTTGTGTTCTTGATATTAATCTGTTGGATATATAGCTTGCAAAGACTTGTTCCCATCCTGTACAGGCTACCTCTTCCACTTGATTGACTACTTCCTTTACTGTACAAAAACTTTTTAGTTTCTTGAGTTCCCATTAGTCACCATTGGCTGTATTTCCTGTGCAACCAGCATCCTACTCCTTACCTCTGCTTCTATCTTGTACACACTCCCTGCTTTTTAGTTGCAGAGTTTCAGCTTTTATATGGAGTTTTTCATTCAATTTTTTTGGAGCTGGTTTTTGTGTAGGCTAAGAAATAAGGATGTAATTTCAGTCTTCTGTAGGTAGGCATCCAGTTTCCCTAGCACCATTTGAGGAAAAATGCTTTTTTTCCAACGTGCATTTTTGGCATCTTTGTCAAAAATTAAGTAGCTGTAATACTGTAACTTATGTCTGTGTCTTCTCTTTCATTGATTTACATGCATTTTTATGCTAGTACCATGCTGATTCTTGTTTTTGTTTTGTATGGTCTGGTTTTTCAAGACAGGGTTTCTCTGAGTAGCCCTGGCTGTCCTGGAACTTCTGTAGATCAGTCTGGCCTCAGACCAGAGATCCTCCTGCTTCTGCCTCCTGAGTGCCACCACCACCTGACACCATACTGTTTTTATTATTGTGGCTTTGTAATATAATTTGAAACCAGAAAAGGTTGTTTAAACGAGAACAGCTTCAATAGACTCATAATTCAAATGTTTGGTTCCCAGTTGGTGGAATTATCTAGGAACAACTGGGAGGTATAGCCTTGTTGGAGAACGGTTGTCTCTGCCTCCTGCTTATGAATCAGATGAAGCTCTCAACTAAAGCTCCAGTGCCATGTCTGCCTGCCTGTTGCCATGTTCCCTGTCACAATGGTTATGGACTAACACTCTGAAACTGTAATCAAGCCCCAATTGTAGAGGAATTTTAATCCAGCAACATGGCTACTCTGCCTGGAATACAGACATGCGGACGCATGCAGATTTCTGAGTTACATCATGTAGTTCGGTTGAGCCAGTGAGTTGAGTTTGTGACAGTTCAGTTTGTAGAAATCAGAGGAAGTTTTTTCCCATGAGAGTTTAACAGAGAGAAGTTAAAGAACAAGCTAGACACAGGTGAAGACAGAATAAGCCAGAGAGAGAAGGAGCTAGAAGATTAGAACACATTGCTCGAGTTAGTTTGAGACCAAGCAGAGCATTGAGAAACAGAGAAGCCAGATTGAATCAGCTTTGAGAGGAGGCTGAGCCAGAACAACTGAGTTGAACTAGCCAACAGAGTTCAGAAAGAACTAGGAAGAGTAAACTTACTCAACAGTAAGTCTCAGAGGCTGAAAACATTGTAGGCCTAGTGAAGATTGTACGGAGCCTAGAAGCTTCCAGGACTAGGCACAGTTTAGCTGACAAGAGGCAGTAAGCCTCTGAGACGACAAATCAGGCAAGTGAAAGTTACTTTAACCCCCAATTAAATGCTTTCTTTCATAAGTTGCCTTGCTTATGGTATCTCTTCACAGTAATAGAATAATAAGACACCAGGTATGGTAATGTCTCCTGTATGATTTTTTTTGCCCAGGTTTTCTTTAGATATCTGCTATCTTTTCTTTTTCTATATTAATGTTAAGATAACTTTTTCAGTTTCTGTTAAGAATGGCATGAGATTTTTGACTGGAATAGCATTGGTTGTGTAGATTGCTCTTAGTGGGATGGTTACTTTCACAACATTAATTCTAATCCATTAGCATGGGAGGCCCTTCCATCTTGGAGTGTTTTTTTTTTTTTAACTGTAAACTCTGATTTCTTTCACTGTACCCTTTTGCATGTAGAACGGCTGTGGGTTTTTATACGTTAATCTTGTATGCTACCACCTTTATAAAAGTGTATATGAGTTCCTGATGGCATTTTTAGGGTTTCTTATGTACATCACCAGCTGACAGACACAGCTGACTTTGTTTCCCATTTGGATCTTTTTATTTCCTTCTCTTTTATTGTTGTGTCTTGAACCTCAGACAGTATTTTAAATAGGAGTAGAGTGGACAGCCTCGTTTTATCCCTGATTTTAATAGAAATGCCTCAAGTGTTTCTTTGAGTTCATTGAGCTCTGTGTTGATTGTGGGTCATATATCGCTTTCATTTGATGAAGGTATACTCCCTTCACTCCTATTCTCTCTATGGGTTTTATCAGAGGATACATTTCACTGTGAAGTATATTTACTCATAACTGCCCAAATGAACAAACTTAGGTATATCCGTACCTATAGTGGAATAGTACTCAAAAAGGAATAAACGATTGATGAACAGCATGAATGAAGTTCCAATGCACTAACTGAACTAGCAAGACTCAAAAGGTTTAGTGTTCCGAATAGGGAATATTCTGGGAAAGATAAAACTACAGGGCAGAAAGTATATAGCAATTACTAGACGTTAAAGATGGTGTGGGTAAAAGTGGGGACACAAAGGGGAAGCGTAAAAGATTTGGGAGAAGAGAGTACTCTGATGGTTGAAATAGCGTATGTGTTAACATTTAGTTTGGATCACAGTAACTCAATGCATAAATTTAAAACATTTCTCAAAAGAAGCAGAATTGTTCGTGCAATTTGGAAAACTTATTTTTAAATACAAAGATTTATTAGAAATGTATTAAGTACCCATATTCACTTAGTGTTTAGTCAGGGAAAATTATTTTACAAGTTATGTGCTGTCCCGCCCCTCAGATGACCTAAATAGATCACTAGTAACAGGCTGCAAGAGCTCCCAAGTAGAGTCAACCGGCAGACCGCCCTGCAGCTGCCTGAGGCGGTTGCTGGGGAGCTGAATGACAACAGGACCCACCTAGTACCACTGTGCGTCCAAAGCCAGCTCACAAACGCCTGAGGGAGGCAGGACACAGCTGAGCCAGTGCAGCCGCCATCGCCACATTCGCAGACATTCGCCGCGCATGCGCGCGCGCCCTGGCGGCTTCGATGCGCCTCAGAGAGGCCCAGGGCTCGACTGGGACCCCTAAGCCAAGGCCCGGTTTTTTTCCTGCCTAGCCTTTCTATAACACCTGCAGCCGTGCACAGTCTCCTCCCTCCAAGCTCCCAGGCCACATCTTCCAGTGTTTGCATTCTGCCCCACGCTGCTTCAGCCGCCGCTCAGCGCGTTTCTTCCCGCACCTGTGGAAGCAATTGTTGATGTCACTTTCTGTGAAAAAGTTCTATGGCTACCAGAATGCCCACCTCTTTCAGATAAGGTAACAAATTACCTTGTATCTTTAACTTTACTAATACTTGTTAAAACAGTTTGAATTTGTTTTTGCTTATCTAATTGGCAGTGTTTTTAAATGGGAGATTTTTCTCAAACACATTTTTTAGTATTATCTAGCCTTTACAAGATTTGTGGGGAGAGTACCTGTACAAAGAGGGGAGTGTCTAGGGGGAGGGGAGATTCACATGCAGAGGATAAGTTGCAGGAGTCATCTCTGAACTTCTCCTTTCCATCGTGTGGGTCCCAGGCTTCGAACTCAGATTGTCAGATGTGGCAACAAACGCTTTTACCAGCTAAGCCGTCTGACTGGGTTATTGATGGCAACTCCTTCAACGGAATACTTTGCAGCCCTTAAAACATGTTTTTCACATATTCTTTTCAAATAGCCTAGTTCACTTCCATAATGAAAATGTTATAGTCTACACTGTTCAGTAAGGTAGTCACTAGACACGTGTGGCTGCTGAACGCCCCCTGAAATATGTCTGTGACTAAGGAGCTGGCTTGTAATTTTACTTAATTTCCATTGGAATAGCTACATGTTGCTATTTTTTTTTACCTTATTGGAAAATACCATATATTAAGGCCTCAGTGTTGTCCTCTGCTGCCTGGGGAAAAGAGCATGTAAGATCATCAATTATTACCTCTCAGAAGCTGTAGAAGATATCTTAATTGCTTTTCTTTTTTCAAAATATTTTTTAATTTTTATTAATTACACTTTATTCACTTTGTATCCCCCCTGTAGCTCCCTCCCTCTTCCTCTCCCAATCCCACTCTCCCTCCCCCTTCTCCATGCTTGTCCTTCCCCAAGTCCACTGATAGGGGAGGTCCTCCTCTCCTTCCTTCTGATCCTAGTCTATCAGGTCTCATCAGGAGTGGCTGCACTGTCTTCCTCTGTGGCCTGGTAGGGCTGCTCCCCCCTCAGGGGGAGGTGATCAATGAGCAGGCCAATCAGTTCATGTCAGAGACAGTCCCTGTTCCCATTACTATGTAACCCACTTGGATACTGAATTGCCATGGGCTACATCTGTGCAGGGGTTCTAAGTTATCTCCATGCATGGTCCTTGGTTGGAGTATCAGTCTCAGAAAAGACCCCTGTGCCCAGATTTTTTGGTTCTGTTGCTCTTTTTAGGGAGCTCCTGTCCTCTCCAGGTCTTACTATCTCCCCCTTCTTTCATAAGATTCCCTGCACTCTGCCCAAAGGTTGCCCATAAGTCTCAGCATCTGCTTTGATACCCTGCAGGGTAGAGCCTTTCAGAGGCTCTCTGTAGTAGGTTCCTGTCCTGTTCCCTGTTTTCTCCCTCTTCTGATGTCCATCCTCTTTGCCTTTCTGAATAGGGATTGAGGCAGCTGATTTTCCTTTGGGGTGTCCTATCCCTCTATACCAGTGGTTCTCAACCTGTGAGTTGGGATCCCTTTGGTGGTCAAGTCACCCTTACACAAGGATCTCTTAAAACCATCAGAAAACACAGATATATCCATTACTATTCATAACTAGTATAATTAGAGTCATGAAGTAGCTTCGAAAATAAGGTGAGATGTGATGATAAATGCTGTAAGCCTAGGCACCCAGTAGGGAAGGTTAAGACAGGAAAGCTCACATCAATGATCAATCAGTGATGGGGGGGAGCTACAGAGAAAGGTAGTCTCCGAAATAAAACAGTAGATCTTCATGTTGCATTTAAATTACAAAGAAGAGGAACCTTTTTTTTGCATGAAAATAGCCAAACGCCTGGGAATAAAACTGCTCTAAACCTGGCTTTTTGACCACTGGCCTTCAGCCCCTTATGGTCAATTCTAACTGAAATCCATGCAAGACCTTTTGTGAAACTTGACACACTGATTTTATAATTCTTGTGGGAATGTAAGGATTGAGAATAACCACCACCACTTTAAAATAAAAGCTAGAATGAGCACACTTGTCCTATCAGGTAGCAAGATTTGTTGGAACATTATAATAATTAAAAAGTGATATTAATTAAAACCTTAGATAGGCAAAAAAAAAAAAAAAATAGTACTCCAAGCCCAGATTCACTTCCACATACCAATATTCCAAGCCAGGCATTGGTGACACACACCTTTAATTCCAGAACTTGGAAGGCAGACGCGGTCGGATCTCTGTAAGCTTGAGGCCAATCCTGGTTTACAGAGTGAGTTTCAAGACAGCCACAGAGGCTACACAGAGAAACCCTGTCTCAAAAAACTTAAAAAAAAAAAAAAAGTAAAATATAACCAAATGTGTTGGTGTATTCTTATAAATCCAAGCTCTCAAGAAGTGGAGACAAAAAAACACCATAAATTCAGAGCCAGCTATATAACCAGGCTTTGTATAAATAAAATTAAAAAACGTAATAAAAACTTAAAAACATTGGAGAGCTCTTTCCCTTCCTTAGTCAGCATTATTACTGTTATTTTTTTAAGTTATTGTGAGTTTATTATTTTCCTGTTTTATTTCATAGCAAGCTCATTATAGAGATCCAGAAAATTAATTGATTTTTCTGGTAGTGTCTTTAAGGTCTTTTAAGTCTTGAATTCTATAGTCTGGAAATTGGAACTTTTTTTTAACTTCTTACAATGGTGTGCTGGCTAGTTTTATGTCAACTTGATACAAGCTAGTCACTGGAGAGGAGGGAACCTCAACTGAGAAAATACCTTCAGGATACCCAGCTTGTAGGCAAGCCTATAGGGAATTTTCTTACTTAGTGACTGATGGAGAAGTACCTAGCCCATTGTGGGTGGGGCAATGTCTGAGCTGGAGGTCCTAGGTTTTATAAAGCAAACTGAGCAAGCCATTGGAGTAAGTAAGCAAGCAGCACCCCTCCATGGTCTCTGCATTATCTCCTGTTTCCAGGTTCCTGCCCTGCTTGAGTTCCTGTTCTGACTGCCTTCAATGTAGAGTGATATGAAAGTGAACCTTTTTCTCCCAGCTTGCTTTTGTTCATGCTGTTTCATCCCAGCAATAGAAATCTTTCCCCCTCCCCAGCAATAGAAATCTCAACTAGGACAAATGGTGTCTCTTTCATTCCTTGCTATAATCTTATGATCATAATACTTCCAAGTACTATATTAACAGAGGAAATGCTTGTAGTATTTTCCAACTTTGTCTATATTAACTATGGGTTTGATATTTATATATCCTTATCCTTTGTTATGTTTAACCAAGTTCCTTTTTGCTGCAGCATGAGAATGCTAGCATGGAATTCGAGCATGTTGTAGCATGGAGTGTCCCTTAAACTAATGTGTTTGGGCAGTTGGTTCTACAACATTTAGGGGGTGGAGCTTTGTTGGAAGAAACATGATGGCAGGGGGTGGGCCTTGAGTTTTTATAGCATGGTCTCACTTCCTGTTCTCTCTCCACTTCTTGTCTGTGGGTGCAGTGTGACCAGCTGCCTCCTGCTCATGCTGTCCTGATCTATGCCATTCTGAAATATATGTCCTGGAATTATGAGGCAAAATATAGCCTTTGCTTAAGTTGCTTTTGCCACAGCAATAAGAAAAGTAACTAACATTGTTCAAGAATTTTTTTTTTTTATCATGCCAGTATGCTGAACTTCTTCAAATGCCTTTTTTGGATCAGCTGATATGACCATGTAAATACCTTTGTTTATATGCTGTATTATTGATTTGTATTTGTATCTGCTGACCCAACCTTGCCTCTCTGGGATGAAATCAACTCAGCCATGACTGAAAGACCCCAGCCTCACCCTAAGTTAAACATAGCTATGAGAAACTCTGTAGGCTAGGTGGGGAACTGGAAAATTACTGAGAAACCTAGCTGTGTCACCCACTTGGGATATCTGCGGTCAGGCTGCCCCAGTCAAACTAAAAACAGTTTGTGTTAATCACCCTCATAGATATCTGTGAGACTGTTCCAGCTGAGATAGGGAAAAACAAAATAACAGGTGGCCACGTTAAGGGGTGGTCAATCTTGGTGCCCCTGCCAAACTTTGACGCAAATCGTGGTCTCATGAAAATGTACCAATCAGCCCCCTGTAACCATGCTTCTCGCTTCTGTACCCACGCTTCTGCTCTAAAACCCTATAAAAACCCCAGCTTCCCATCTAGGGGGCGCGAAAGTCTCTCGAATGACTTTTCGCCCCGGGTACCCGGGTGTATCAAAATAAAAGCCTCTTGCTGTTTGCATCCGAATGGCCTCGTTGTTCCTTGGGAGGGGGTCTCTCTGACGGAAGATACCCTCCGGGGATCTTTCATGACATAAATCTAGTATGTTCTTGATGTTAGTTTATGAATTTACTTTATTGAGAATCGCTGTGTCTGTATTCATCAGAGTAATTCATCAGAGTCTATGGTTAAACTTTCCTGAAGAGCAAAAGAAACAATCATAACGAGAAAATCCTTACCAACTTACATAAGAAAGGAGGTCTAGAATACGTAAAACTATGGTAACTAGAATATATAAAGAAGTGCAGAAATTAAGCATCACACCCCTCCACAAATATTCCAGTCAGTAAACATGCTAATCAATCAATAAAGACTCCTCAAGGGAAGCATCCAAAGGACCCTCACTCCTTCCACAGACATACCTACAATCCAATAAGCAATAAACATACTCATGTTTATTGTTGCATTGTTCACACTGAGAAACAATGAGCTTACATGCCCACCATTGTACATGTAGATAAAGAAAATATGATTTACATACACAATGGACTTTCATTCCATCATACAGAAAATGAAATTATAACAATTTCAGGAAAATGAAACAATTTTCAGGAAATTATAACATTTTCAGGAAAACCATTAAGCTAGGTGATAATCCAGAGTCATATGTGGATTTTTTATTTTAATCTGTATGTATGGGTAAATGTATGTGTGTAAGTGTAAGCTATGAAACTAGAAAGTCAGCCACAGAGGGGAAGAATAGAATTTAAGGGATGAGGAGAAAAAAATAAAACAGAGGAAGCAATGAAATACTTGCAACATGAGAGCAGAGGAGGGGATTCAAGGTAGGTGGAGGGTGGGAAAGGTGCTGGTAGGAGAGAGGGAAAGGACCTTTAAAAAGAGCAGAGTGTGTGGAGCTGGGATGCAGCTCAGTCAGTAGAGTGCTAGCATGCACAAAATCCCTGGGATCCATCAATTCCTAGCTCCACAGAAATCAGACATGGTAGCTCATGCCTATAATCCAAGCACTCAGGAGGTGGAGACAGGAGGATCAGAAATGCAAGGGTATTCTCAGCTACATGTTCAAGGACAGCCTAGGATGCATTATACTCTATCTTAAATTCAGAACAAATGTGAAAATGATATCACAAAATCCACTAATTTGTATGCTACCCTAACCCCTAACTTTAACTCTCTCCCACTGGGCATGAGGGCACATGACTTTGATCTCAGTATTCAAGAGGCAGAAGCAGGCAGATTTCTGTAAGTTTAAGGGCAGCCTTGTCTAAATAGTGTGTTTCAGACCAGCCAGGGCTACATAGTTAGCCTCTGTCTCAAAGAGAAGAAAAAACAGAAAGAAAGAAAAGAAAATCTCAATGCTGTGTTGAACAGTAGGACTGATGACATCATTAATTCTTGATTCTGAAACTTGTTCTATAGACCAGGCTGGCCTCAAACTCTAGAGATCCACCTGCTTCTGCATCCCAAGTGCTGGGATTAAAGGCATGTGCCACAATACTTGGTCTCAAAATAAAATTTTAAAACAACAAAGCCAATGATTGATTCTTATCCCAAAGGAAATTTTCAGTCTCTCAACACAGGATACAATGATTATGATATTCTCTCTGTCTCTGTTTCTCTCTCTGTCTGTCTCTCTGCCTGTCTGTCTGTCTCTCTCTTGTTTTCAAGACAGACTCTCACTATGTGTGTTGCTTGGTAGGAAATTTTTCTGAGATCCAGGTGTGACCTCTGTGGGTTCCAGGTAAAATGTGGTCTTGGGTATAGGGAGCTGACATTTAGGAATGGGGATGGGCTGGGAGCAGTGCTGGGGTTGTCTAGAGGATGGGGGGAAAGCAGGATGTTCCACCAGGCTCTGTTTGGTTCTCTGGGAAAGGGGGCAGAGAACAAGAGGCCACAGCAGAAAGTCTGCTGTAGAGCTGGGCATGAGCCTTGGAGAAATGGAAGGAGAGGTGAAGATCTACAGTTAGCCTACCTATTTGCCTGGTCAGAGTGGCCCTGAGGGTTCCCAGTAAGTGCCTGCTGGAGTTGGGGGTCTGGGATAAAGCAGTGAGTAGGAGGAGGGAACTTAGGAGAGGAAGATCTGTGAGGTTCACTGGAGATGGGGTCAGGGGATCAGAAGGTGGCTGCGGTTGATGGTCTGCAGAGCAGAGGTAGGGCTGAAACTGGGGGATTGGATTTGGAGAGGCTGGGGGACAGGTGAAGATCTGCAGTTAGCCTTACATGTGTGATTTTAACGTCTTTATTACCCTTTTAATATGAACATTTGTCTTACAGAAAAAAAAAAAAGAACGCGAAAAAGTAGAGTTGCAATCTTGAGTTGGTGGAAGAGCTACCAGTAACTAAGATGTCTGAAGATGAGAATAATGCAGAGTCCGAAGGAGTCCATAGATCTGATGAGTCACTGGAGGAGCCTGGAACTATTGAAGAAATGTTAAGTGCCTTAAACGAAGACGCTTTTTACTCAGAGAGGAAAGAGTCTGACGAGTTTGATGAAGCAAATCTTTTAAAGGATGCAGAAGAGTCAGTAGCTTCCTCCACAAGCCAGCTTAACGGAGATGAAGAGAAAAAGACTTCTGACACCAACCTAGTAGATGGCAGCCCAGAAACTCCACAGAGCTCTAAGAGCTCCTCAGAGAGTAAGACAGCTGAAGACGATCAGCCAGCCAAAGACTCAGATGAGAAGACAGATAGTCCACACGACTCTGAAGACAGCCAGAACGAATTTGGCTTGGAATCAGATAACTTTACAGTTAATCTTGATGCTAAGGGTTTACAAGAATTCCCTGTAAACATTTTCAAAGACAAATACGTAAAATATCTTTATTTAGATAAGAATAATATAAAAAATTTCCAAGGGGCAGACCCAGAGGACCTACTAGGACTAGAAGTTCTGTCCTTGCAACAAAATGGATTGCCATCAATTCCCTCGGACATTGAATTGCTTTACAATTTAGAGACACTAAATGCCAGTTACAACCACATATCCCAGATACCTAAAGAACTATTACAACTTGAGAATATGAGGCAACTCTTTTTAGATAGTAATTATATTGAGAGTTTACCTTCTGACTTAGAAAGTCTTAGCAGTTTAGAAACTTTAAGTTTGGGCAAAAATAAATTAACACATATACCAGATTCTCTCTCTAGTTTGAAAAATTTGCAAGTTCTCAACCTGGAATATAACCAATTAACGATATTTTTTAAGTCTCTGTGCTTCCTTCCAATGTTAATCTCACTAAACCTCACTGGAAACATGATACGCAGTTTGCCAAAAGAAGTTAGGGAACTGACAAACTTAGAAAACCTTTTAATGGATCACAACAGACTTACTTTTTTGGCTGTGGAAATTTTTCAGTTGCCCAAAATAAAGGAACTTCATCTAGCTGACAATAAATTGGAAACTATTTCACCCAAAATTGAGAATTTCAGCGATCTCAGGCTTCTTAACCTTGATAAAAATTTATTGAAAAGCATACCAAAAAAAATTTCCCACTGTGTAATGTTGGAATGTCTTACCCTTAGTGATAATAGTATAGAAGAACTTCCTAGGAAAATCCATAAGCTTAAAAATTTGAGACAACTCCATGTGAACAGAAATAAAATGATAAAAATTGCTGAAGAAATCGCACATCTTAGTAATATAAACAGCCTGGAGTTTTCTGGCAATCAAATCACACATATCCCTATTGAAATAAAAAACTGCAAAAAAATAACCAGAGTTGAACTGAATTACAACAATATAATGTACTTCCCGCTGGGGTTGTGTGCTTTGCAGTCACTTGACTACTTGAGTTTCAATGGAAATTATATTTCAGAAATCCCTGTGGATATATCGTTCAGTGAGCAGCTGCTTCATTTAGAGTTGAACAGAAACAAACTCCCCATATTTTCAGAACATTTGTGTTCTCTCACTAATCTCGAATACCTGGATCTTGGCAAAAACCTAATAAAGACAATTCCTCCCTGTATCTCTGCTATGGTGTCACTCCATGTGCTCATTCTGTCTGGTAATAAGTTTGACAATTTCCCAAAGGAACTGTGTACTTTAAAAAACTTGCATGTACTGGATGTGTCAGAAAATCAGTTACAGAAAATACCTGCAGAAATATCCAAACTAAAAGGGATCCTGAAGTTAAACTTTTCAGGCAATCAGTTCACACATTTTCCTGTGGAACTGTGCCATCTTAAAACACTGGAGGATTTGAATTTGAGTCAGACAAATGGGAAAAAGGTAAGAGTGCTCTTTTGGGTGTGAAGCGGAGGGTGACTAAGGGACTCTCAACCTGAGGCACAGCGTACGTGACAGTGGACGTGTGTACTGGCTAGTTTTATGTCAACTTGACCCAAGCTAGAGTCCTCAGGAGGGAACCTCAATTGAGAAAATGCCTCCATAAGATCCGGCAAGCCTGTAGACAAGCCTGTAGGGTATTGTCTCAATTAGTGACTGACAGGAAGGCCCAGCCATTGTGGACTCTTGGACCTGGGTTCTATAAGAAAGCAGGCCTGAGCAAGCCACGAGGAGCAAGCCAGTAAGCAGCACTCTTCCATGGCCTCTGCATCAGCTCCTGCCTCCAGGATCCTGCCCTGCTTGAGTTCCTACACTTCAATGTTTTTGAAGATGAATTGTTATTTGGAACTGTAAGTCAAGTAAACGCTTTCCTTTCCAGGTTGCTTTTGGTCATGGTGTTTCATCACAGCAATAGTAGTCCTAAGACAACATGCAAATGCTTGTATGTGTATTTTGAACAAGTGAAATTCTCTATGTTTGAAAACATGGCTCAGATACACCTCTCTACACAAAAGCTTTTTTTTTTTTTTTTTTGCATTCAAATGCAGTGTGAAACAGACATTTTTGTAGATTACTTTCTATTTAGTTCATTGGGAGATTTTTCAAATTTTATATGAGTTGTATATGTATGCATTCCTGTGGGTGTGTGTTTGGATGCATGTGGGTGGAGTCTTTCAGAGGACATCTGAGGTAGGCTTTTGTTCCATTCCCTCTCTTCTACAGCTTCTGGTGTCTATCCTTTTTTCCCTTCTGAATGAGATTTAAGCATCTTCCCTAGGGTCCTCCTTGTTGTTTAGCTCCTTTATGTCTGCAGATTTTAGTATGGTTATCCTATATTATATGGCTGATATTTGCTTATAAGTGAGTACATACCATGTGTGTTTTTCTGCTTCTGGGCTATTTCACTCAGGATAATCTTTTCTAGTTCCATCCATTTGCCTGCAAATTTCATGATTTTTTCTTTTTAATAGCTGAGTAGTATTCCATTAGTAATTGTGCCACAATTTTTGTATACATTCTTCGGTAAGGGACAATCTAAGTTGTTTCCAGATTCTGGCTATTAGGAATAAAGCTGCTAAGAACATAGTTGAGCAAATGTCCTTATTGTATAGCTAAGCATATTTCAGATATATGCATAGGAGTGGTATAGCTGGATTTTCAGATAGCAACAGATCTGGTTTCCAAAATGGTTGTACAAGTTTATATTCCTACCAGCAATGGAGGAGGGTTCCCCTTTCTCCACAACCTCTCCAACATTGTGGTCTCTTGAGTTTTTGATTTTAGTCACTCTGATGGGTGTAAGGTGAAATCTCAGGGTCGTTTTGGTTTGCACATCCCTGTTGACTAAGGCCATTGAGTATTTCTTTAAGTTTCTCTGTCACCTGGCTATCTTTAATGCTAGACTCTTAGCCAAAACAAAATCCTCCAAAATCTGTTCTTAAAAGTCTTCCTCTTTGCTCAAAAAGAATCTCTATCATCTATGGCTGGAGTTACAGCTCAGAAGCAAACTTACCTGGTTTTTAGAATGTAACCCCTACTATGTAATATATGTTCAGCAAAGCTGCCATAGTAGTGGTGTGTGGTCTAAGCAATGGAATGAATGATGAGACAAGTTGTAGTAATGTTAAGCAAAATGTGAACTAAAATATACATTTTGGTTCTGCGATGTAATTAGCAGCTAATTTGAGTAATTTATGGCAAGTAATTTGACTTTCTCTTTCTGTGTCTTGTGACTCCTCTAGAACAAGTCCCTAACTTCCTCCTGTTCACTAACTTTCTTTGGCCTCATCACACCTACTTTCCACACACATAATCCCCTAGCACTATAGTTCACAGTTGGCAACTTTCCCTGGAATTTCCAGCTTCACTTTCTGCTCTTGTCCATGTTCAACACTTGTTTTATGCCTAGTTTATTCCAGCAACTGCCTTCGCTATACTCTCTGGCTTATGTTCCTTATCAGGCTTTGTCAGAGTCATCAGACTTCATTCCAGAAGACGATTATATATATATGTGTGTGTGTGTGTGTGTATACATATATATATATGTATATATACATACACACAAATATATATAATATATTTTATGTATATGAGGGTTTTGCTTCTGTTTGGTTCTCATGGAAGCCAGAAGAGGGTGTTGGATCCTTTGTAACTGGAGTTAAAGCTGATTGTGAATTGCCATGTGGGTGAATAAAACCTGAGTCCTTTACAAGGGCAGCGAGTGCTCTTAAAAGCTGAGTAATCTCTCCAGCCCACAAAGGGACTCCTCCTCCTCCTCCTCTTCTTCTTGTTTTGTTTTTTCGAGACAGTGTTTCACTATGTAGCTTTGACTTCCCTGGACTTGCTTTGTCACAAGACTGGTCTGGAACTCACAGAGATACTCCTGCCTCTGCCTCCCTGAGCTCTGGGATTACAGGTATGCACCACTGTGCCGGCTTAGGGGACTATTCTTAATGTATTATATTTGGCATGGTGGTGCATGATTGCAGTCCTAACACTCATGAGGCTGAGGTAGGAGGATAGTAAGTTGAAGCCCAGCCTGGGATCCAGAGTGGGATTCTGTCCAAAAAAGAAGGGAAAGAAGAAAGATAAGAGGGAAGAAGGGAGGAAGGAAATTCAGGATCAAAGTAGTAGTACCAGTAAAGTCTTTATCATTTCAAAAGTCTTTAAATGGAAAAACATTATATGAATCCTTCTTAAGAAGAATATCCTATGTGGTTGGAAATTTCACTTGGATAGAATGGAGAAGGAATACCTAAAGGATTACTTTATCTACCAGCTGACCAATAACCAATGGTCGGAAGAAGATAAATTGGGTTAGTCGCCGAGCTTCCATTAAGCAAAGCAAAGGTCACTCAGTAGGACTCTTCTTTCACCAGCAGCTCCATCAGCATAGAGCTCTCTCTTCCTCCTATAAACACTGGACAAGTATGTAGAGAATATTTAGCCAGGCCTGGTGGCCATGTCTGTAATCCCACATATGAGGGGATGGGGAGGGGGTTGGAGCAGTTGGATCTCTATGAGTTTGAGGTGAATCTGCTATGTATCGTCAGTTCCAGGGAAGACAGGGTTACACAGATACTGTCTCAAAAAAATTAAATGAGATGTTCAAAAAGAGTATTCGTTTGAAGGACATTCAGTTACAGGCCTGCCCACCTATGCTGATCTCATTCCTCCGACATAAGGTTGGAAGTCTTGCATAGTCGTCCTTTCTCATATATTTCTCTGAAGTTATCACTTCTCCATACTAGGCGCCTCCCTACTAGCCATATGTATGCATGATGTTTATCTTGCTTTTGGTAGCACACTTCAATCCTGCCCGGTAGTGTGTGTGTTTCTGTGTGTGTGTGTGTCTGTGTGATGTGTGTTGTGTTGGTGTGTGAGGTGTGTGTGTGTGTTGTGTGTTGTTTGTGTGTGTGAGGTGTGTGTGGTATGTATATGCTGTGTGTGTATAGTGTGTGTGTTTATAATTGTGTTGTGTGTGGTATGTATATATTTGTAGTAAGTGTGTTGTATGTGTGTTGTGTGTGCACAGTGTGTATGTGGGGTATGTGTGTATGTGGTGTATGTGTATTATGTGTATATATGTGTTGTGTGTGTTTGTGGGGTGAGTATGGTGTGTGTTTTTTAATTGTGCAGTATATTTGTGATATGTGTGTCTGTGGTATGTTTGGATGTGCAGTATGTGTGTTTTGTGTGTTGGGTGTACAGTATGTATGAGTGGTGTTTGTGTATGTGGTGTGTATGTGGTATGTGTGTTTGTGTGTGTTGTAACTCTGGGATGTGTATGGTATGTGTGTTGTATATGTGTGTGTTGTATGTGCCATATGTGTGTTGTGTTTGTGGAATGTGTGTGTTTGTGTTGTGTGGTGTGTATGTGTGTGTGTACAGGTATAAGGATGAGTGTCTTTATCACTCTGTGATGAGAATTGGATAAAATGTAAGTAATTGTACAAACTTGAGAGAAGGAAGAAAAACAGCAGCATTAGCCTGAGGGAGACAAGAAAGGAGTGGGACAGGGCAGAACCTGAGCTGGGGCATGGGAAGAAAGTGTGTTCCAAGCAGCAGGGTTAATTAGCGAGCACTGTGGCTGCTTGCGGGTGTTTTGGATGTGGAATTACAAAGTATGACAGAATGAAAGTGTCTCCTTAGACAAAGACTAAAATAAAACTCTCTTCTCTTGTTTTAAGGGGGGAAATATAGTGTTACTAATATTTATGGATTTATAAAAGCATGATTGTTTAATTATCCTTGCAGTTAACAAGACTTCCAGAAGAGCTGTGTAATATGACTCAACTCAAAACACTTGACATCTCGAACAATGCCATCAAAGATATTCCAAGAAATATAGGGGATCTGAAAAATCTGGTTAGTCTATATGCATGCAATAACCAAATAAATTCTCTTCCACCATCTTTTCTGGCTTTAGAAGTTCTACAGAGCCTAGACCTCAGAGGTATGTGCCAAGCGTAATAAGCAATAAGTGGAATATCTAAGTAGAACATTGATCTTTAAATTACAGTTTTTGCTGACAAAATAAAGACTTTCAGACAGTGCATTAAGTGGGCATCAGAGGGAGAGGTGCACACAGTGCTTTTCCTCCCTAAAGGAAATGAGCACAAAATGGAAGAACTGATTTATTGTGTTGAAAAAAGTTCTAGAGATGGAAATAGCAGGAAACAGGTGTTTGGTAGGGGAAATGGGAAAAATGAGGAAGAGCTTTAGATGAGAAGGGGGAGAGGAGGGAATACAGAAGGAGGGGGAGGCATAAAGAACTCTATTAGGGTGTTTAGGAAAAACAGGAATCTATGTTTACTGTAAATTACATGTAATATATGAGTGTAGATATATTGTTTGAATGAAGTTATGATATTTAAGGTGGTAATGCTCCCCTCACTCCTGCTGAGAGCCATAGGCTACCTAGTAAAACTCTAGTACCAGGCATGAGGAAGTTCTTCTGTAGCTGTTGGTCAAGGAAGTTCAAGAGAAGTCCAAGAGAATTCCAAAACAATCAACACTGACAACTGCCTTTGCTCTTGACTGACTCCCAGAACACACTCTGGACACAGGACTTGGAAAAATCAAACTGGAAGCCTCCTCCATAAGAACTGGCTCTCATAGTGTCAGAGAGTGTTATGCAAGTCGACAAGGCAGAAGAGCAATTGGCAGTCCTACATAGCTTAAAGCTTGTGAAACAAGGATTGCTGGACCAGCAAGATAGCCACAAAGGCCAATAGTGGCACTTTTGCCTTTGGGTAACTAACAGTTGCCTAATTGAACTTCAGGCTCACTCCACAGGAGGATGTTCATGGCTGTACTGTAAACCTATCCAATTACCCATGACTGGGAAGACCATAGACCGGAGAAGAGAACCTACTCTTGGCAGTTTCTTGAACCAATATAATTTCTATTTTCTAAGTACTCCTCTTTATATCACAGATACATGTAGCTCTCTCACCCTCATCAAAGAAGCTTCTTTTTGCATAGATGGAGACTATTAGGAAGATCCACAACTGGTCAGAATGTAGGGAATAAGTGACTATGGGGCGCACACCCCCACTGATGCATGCGCAGTGTAACAGGAAAACTGTGGAGAAGGGGCAGAAAGACTGTAAGAATCAGATACTTAGGATGCCTGCTGTTACATAGTGCCCCTCCACATGATGGGAAGCTGCACCCATGGGCTCTCAACAACATGGTTGCTTGAACAAGCCCAGCATGATGACAGCCTTAGCTGACAGGCCTCTGTAGACAGAGGAAATTCCACATGGCCTAACAGTGCACGGACATTAGTCAGAACTGTCCTCATTGTGTATGTCCTCGGGTGCACGAGTTACTAAGACAGTAGACTTCTGCACACACAGCTTTCTGCCCCAGCAGTTTAATTTCACACCATGGTGTGCTCATGACCTCCGTTTCCGTCCTAGGAAACAGTCTGACAGATCTCCCCAGTGCTATCTATAGTCTCTCGTCGCTGAAGGAGATAAATTTTGATGACAATCCTTTGCTGAGACCTCCAATGGAAATCTGTAAGGGAAAACAGCTGCACACTATCACATGCTATCTCCAAAGAGCGGATGAAAGAGATGGTGGGTGATGAGCAAGGAATTACCTTTGCAAGAAATTGTCTGCTATCTGTACAGTAAGAGTGTGCTCTGGTTGGACACTTTAAGCTGGCGGTAACATTCAAATATCATCTTCCTTCTTTCTGAAGGTTGTCTGTGTATAATGATAACTCAGATTGTTTAGTCATGGGAAATGGGGACTGGAATATCTAAAACTGCTCTGTATTCATCTATTATATACCATATCTAGGTAACCAAGAACATCTCCCAGGTTAAGCTAATGACGAGATCACATTAGAAAGCACTGTCCGCTGTAAGCATATGTACACATATGCATGGCTGCTGTGTGGACACTTTTCTAAGACTTGAACTTCACTGGTTCAAGGAACTTGAGAGAAAAGTAAGTCACAGTGGCTCTCTCCTTGAACTCACTTCAGGATGACTGTGCTAATTACTACACTCAAAGGGAATATTTCTATGAAAAACAGGTTTCAGAGTTTCAAGTGTCTATGTAGTATTTCTGTTATGTATAGTACCTTAGAGGAAGGTGTTCAAGTTATACCACTGGGCATTCATGCTAAAGTTTTGTTTCTCCAGTTCTCAAAGAAACAGGATTCTTGTTGCTCTGTTGTTTACAGGAAGGTGCAGTAGGCAATGGCAGCACCTCCACAATTCCGGGAGAAGAGAAGTCTAGACACTTGCCATCTTTCTATATACTCAAGTCACCTTTGTCCTGCAGTGTTTTTAATCCTCAGTGAGGCTGAAGTAGCATAGGAGACGTATTTATTCTGCAGCTAACAAGGAACATAGAGCCCCCCTCCAAGCATTTTATTAAGCAATTAGATTTTCTTTTTATTATCAGCATGAAATCTAGCCTGAAGGATTAATGATGTATATGCAGTGTCTCAAAATGAAAAGGCCCAGGACACATTTGAGATGATATAGAGAACATGGGAGATCTCTAATTCTTGAAAATTCTCATAGCACACTAGTCAACAAAGGTGACTCTAGAGCACACTATTTAGAAGCGTTCTATTTTTTTTAAAGCACTAATGGGTCTGGAAATATGGCTCAGTGGTTAAGAACATATACTGCTCTTGTAGAGCTCCTGTCAGTTCCCCAGCACCCATGTTAGTAGCTCAGAGCTGCCTGATAACAGGGGTTGGATATATTTGGCCTGTGTGGGTACATACCCCCACATCCTCACATCCTCATAACTTTTTTTGAGACAGGGTCTCTTCAGGTAGTCCTGGAACTCACTAAATAGACCATTTGGCTTCAAAATCGGAGAGATTGCTTGCCTCTGCCATCCCGAGTGCTAGGATTAAAGATATATGCTACCTTTCCTGGCCTTACATAATTTAAAAAAACATTAATAATCTAATTAAACAATGAATTATTTTAATATAAATATGCATTATATGCATATTTATAATAGATTTTAATTTCTCAAAGTAGTTAATATAGAAAAGCCAGAATGGAAGGAAGGAATTAAATTAATTTCAAATCTAGAAAAAAGAAAAGAATTTGGAAGTCAAATTTAAAGTTGCTCATAATATTCTGCTTAATCAGCCATATTAGGTTGTGGGGCTCCTCAGCTTCTAGAAGCAGACAGGGACAGGGAATACAAATTGAAGACATTTCACCTCTGTATTGTCATTTTCAATTTTATCTGACATATATGTTTGATACAAGCATAGAAGAAAACTATTAACTCAAAGTATCTTTTTAAAAAAAGAAATAATGTTTCTTCTATGTTCAAATGTAGAGAAAATCTTACAGAAGATATTCAACATAGTTGCCAACAATATCACTGAGATAAATTTTGAATTTTTGCAACAAAAACTAAAAATGAAAGGCTCTCAATCTAGCATTCCTGTAAAGTAAGTATGAATGGCATTTGGGACAAATGTGTTTTCATACCTGATTGATATGATCTTGATATTACATAGTTTTGAAATATTTGAATATTATATAGTTTAAAATATTTACATTGACATAAATTCCACTGTAGATGGCGGCCTTTCACTTATGACATATTTGTGATGCTTGTTGTGCAACCAAACAATGTAATGAAGAAGGAAGGACTTTGAGGATAAGCGACTAGGCTTTCTGTCTAGCTAGCTTCCTGACCTTGGACATGCCCTTTTCTTTCTCTCTGCTTCAGTTTCTTCAGTGGTAAAATGAATACACTGAACTTAGAAAGTTGTCATGATGATCAAGTGAGACCAAGCTATAAAGTATGCATTTTATTGTGTTTGTTTATAGTAAACAACTCACAGTGATTATTACCTTAAGAGTTGAATGTGAAATGTGAGCTTGTTAAAAGAAAAAAAGGATGAAGCTAATGTTTGCTTTTGTGTGTTAGGCTCATGGTAAAAGTTCACCTATACTGTGTTTAATTAAATTTACTCTCACATAAATGTGGTAGATTAACTTGAAAACTTAAGATAAACTTTAAGTAGCATAAAATAATGTTCTTGGTTGGTAATTAAAATAATTGTTATTTAAATTTTCACAGCACTGCTCCATTCAATGAGAGAATCTACCACTCACTTATTCAGTGGAAAGAGGACCAGAACTTGTCAGTCACAGCTATGGCCTTAAGAGAGCAACTCGTTCGGGCACTAACTATGATAGGTGCTCATGAAATAATAGACAAGATCAGAGCTTTGAATATTTATACAAGTGCCATCAGACTCTAGCCAGTGGATCTGAAATCGAAGCTGGAAACACCTTGCACTTATAGAACTGAAACTTGACCTTGGGGCTAAATCATTTTGCTGATACAAGTGAATTATTTGTATATCCTGTCTCTTTTTGTTTCTTAGTAGTTATTTTTTTATTTGTGTGTGTGAACATGCATGTGCCACAGTTGGCATGTGGAAGTCAAAGGAAAATGTCCAGGTCTGTTCCTCAATCGAAGAACTGACAAGCCCTTGATGCTCTGCTCTGTGTCTCCTGGGATGGGTGTAAACAAGGATTTGTGAACAAATGTACTTCCTTATCTCTGGATGCTTACCCTTTGTAGCTTTGACCTATGGCCAGGCTCAACACTCTTTAGGGTAATACCTCAGAGGGCCTCTGAAAGACTCCACTTAGCAGGGTATCAAAGCAGATGCTGAGGCTCATAGCCAAACTTTGGGCAGAGTACAGGGAATCTTATGAAAGAAGGGGGAGATAGAAAGACCTGGAGGGGACAGGAGCTCCACAAAGAGAGCAACAGAATCAAGAAATCTGGAGCCAGGGGTCTCTTCTGAGACTGATACTCCAACCAAGGACCATGCATGGAGATAACCTTGAACCCCTGCACAGATGTAGTCCATGGCAGCTCAGTATCCAAGTGGATACCCTAGTAAGGGGAGCAGGGACTGTCTCTGACATGAACTCAGTGGCTGGCTCTTTGATCACCTCCACCCTGATGGGGGAGCAGCCTTACCAAGCCACAGAGGAAGACTTTGCAGCCAGTCCTGATGAGCCTATGGGAAGGGAGGAGGACCTCCCCTATCAGTGGACTTGGAGAGGGGCATAGGAAGAGATGAGAGAGGGAGGGTGGGATTGGGAGAGAATGCGGGAGGGGACTACAGCTCATACAAAGTGGATTAACTGTAATATAAAAAAAATAAAAAATGCCTGTTAAGAAGGTATCTCTCTCCCTAGGGTCACTATTCTCTCTCTCTCTCTCTCTCTCTCTAATATATATATATATATATATATATATATATATATATATATATTAGAGAGAGAGAGAATAGTCTCTCTCTCTAATATATATATATATTAGAGAGAGAGATGTCTATATATAGAGAGATATCTCTATCTCTATCTCTCATTCTGTTCTACAGCTTGTCTTGTTCCCTCTGGCATGATGTACTGTCCCTCACAGTGTTCACCTTCATCATGGCCTCCATGGCTGTGTAGCCTCCTTTCTTTCCTGATAAATCTCATTTATTGAAAGAACCATTTTGGGTCAGCTGTTTTCACAAGAACTGCCTCTCTTTCCTCAATAAGACCTGATAGAGATCAGACCTTCTCTCTTTGAAAAGTAACAATGAAAACTGAAATGAAATTACAAATATGTAAAAAACAACTGTAAGAACTTTCCTTTTTAATTCTGCTCTGAATTTAATATATAATAATACTTATAAAGTTAGAAGAGAAAGAGTAAAATCAAACGTAAATAAACAGGCATATACTAGAACAAATAACACCAAGAGCATGTCCCTAAAAAGCTACAGCTGTCACTTAGGAAGCTGAAAACAGGACTGTGGGTTTCAGTCTAGCCTAGGCTACATAGTGAGACTGTCTCAAAAGTAAATAAACACATTTTGAAAAGCTGTGTTAGTTGAAATTAGATCCCTGATTTGACAGCAATATGAATGCTGTCGTTCTCTATGTGTCCTTGGTGGTATACACAGGATCTGCTTGCCTTGTAACGGAGTTTCCTTTTTTTTTTTTTTTTGGTTTGGTTTTTTGAGACAGGGTTTCTCTGTGTAGTCCCGACTATACTGGACTCACTTTGTAGACCAGGTTGGACTTGAACTCAGAGATCCCTCTGCCTCTATCTCTGAGTGCTGAGATTACAGAGGTGCGCTACTGTGCCCTGCTGAGTTTCCTTTTATAGATTCACACTCTTCTTAGTTCATATTAGTATCTTAGAAATTGATGAAAAATGCCCACCAAGAATTTCTTGTAACATTTCAGATTGTTTTTTCTTTCTTAACTTTTATTATTTTTACAGTTTATTCATTTTGTATCCCAATTGTAGCCCCCTTACTCATCTCTTCCCAGCCCCACTCTCCCTCTTCCTCCCACTCTCTTCCTCCCATCCCCCTCCCCTAGTCCACTGAAAAGGGGGTGATCTTATTCCCTACTATCCTATCCTGTTCTATCAAATCTCACCAGGACTGCCTGGATCCTCTTCCTCTGTTGCCTGGTAAGGCTACTCTAGCAGGGGGAAGTGATTCAAGAGTAGGAAACTGAGTTCTTGTTAGAGATTGTCTCTCTCCTCTTACTAGGGGAACTCACAGAGAGACTGAGCTACTTAGGGGCTACATCTGAACGGGGGTCTAGGTCCTCTCCATGCATGGTCCTTGGTTGATGCATCAGTCACTGCAGGTTCCCCTGGGCCCAAATTTGTTGGCTTTGTTGGTCTCCTTGTGGAGCCTAGTCCGCTCCGAGTCCTTCTATCCCCCCACTCTCCTGTAAGACTCTCTGCCCTCTACCCAAAGTTTGGCAGTGAATCTCTGTATCTACATCAATGCCCTGCTGGGTAGAGTCTTTCAGAGGACATCTATCACAGGCTCCTGTCCTGTTCCCTATCTTCTACCGCTTCTGGTGTCTATCTTATTTTCTGAATGACATTTAAGCATTCTCTCTAGGGTCCTCCTTATTGTTTAGCTTCTTTAGGTCTGCAGATTTTAGTATGGTTGTTCTATATTATATGGCGAATATCCACTTATGAGTATATACCATGCATGTCTTTTTGCTTCTGGGCTACCTCACTCATGATGATCTTTTCTAGTTCCATCCATTTGCCTGCAAATTTCTGGATTTCCTTGTTTTTAATAGCTGAGTAGTATTCCATTCTGTAAATGTACCACAATTTCTGTATTCATTCCTCAGTTGAGGGACATCTGGGTTGTTTCCAGATTCTGGCTATTATGAATAAAGCTGCTACAAACATGGTCGAGCAAATGTCCTTGTTGTGTACTTGAGCATCTTTTGGATATATGCCTAGGAGCAGTATAGCAGGATCTTGAGGAAGCACTATTCCTAATTGTCTGAGAAAGTGCCAGATTGATTTCCAGAATGGTTGTACAAGTTTACATTCCCACCATCAAGGGAGGAGGGTTCCCCTTTCTTCACATCCTCTCCAGCATGTGCTGTCACTTGAGTTTTTGATCTTAGCCATTTTGATGGGTGTAAGGTGAAATCTCAGGGTCATTTGATTTGCATCTCTCTGATGGCTAAGGATGCTGAGCATTTCTTTAAGTGTTTCTCTGCCACTCGATATTCTCTGTTGAGAATTCTCTATTTCTCTCTGTACTCCATTTTTAAATTGGATTATTTGGTGTCCCGCCCTGCGGGACTCAGTTATTCGTGGGGGCGAAGGGGGTCAATCCTGAAAAAGATGGGGGAGAGAGAGAAAGGACACAAGCAGACGGTTGCCCGTCAAGTGTCAGCTTTATTGAATTTTGGTGTTTCTTTTAAAACGTGGTTTTGGCAGGGCAGGGGAGAGGGGCGAGAAAGGGAAGTAGTAGTGGAAAAATACCAAGACCCTTGGTGGGAAGTTCCCAAGGCTAAGAAGGTGGGTTAAAGAGTTACAAGGTCCGAAGATAACATCAGTGGTCACATCGGTGGTCACAGATGTGTCCCAAAGCAAACAGTTTCGGGAACAATGGGTCGTAAGAAGCTATGGCCTGCTGGCGCCCGGTGCTTATCTGGCAGGTCAGGCCCTTAGGAAGGGTCCCAGGGCTTTGTTCCCAACAATTTGGTATATCGCTGCTTAATTTCTTGAGTTCTTTATATATTTTCCATATTAGCCAAACAAAGACCTTAATCTAGCCAACACAAATAATGCTCAAATTACATTGTGAGTCTTCTATCTATTGATATGTCAACACTTCTGAGTATTCTGGTGGAGGTGTAGTCTGAGTTGGCAGCCTATGAGTTCACAATTCTGATTTCTATGTCAGGTGTTATCAGATAACTAAGATGCCAAGATTCAACTCTTGAATCTTGTAGAGTCCAGATGTTGCCAAGAACGGGAAAGGTAGAGGCTACCAAGTGTTGCAATGCTCTGAAAACATGTAATTTGACTTTATTACTTTGCATGTCCTGAAACCCTTGCATTAAAGTTATTTTTATAAATCTGTTAACAAGGATTTCAATCAGATATGGGGGGTACAGAAATCAGCACTGGAAATATACAAAAACCTTAAGCCTACACCCATGGACACAAGAGGATAACTGAAAATGAGTTGGAATGCTTTGACATTGGCTTAAACAACAACCTTGCCAAATTAGGCCCTTAGAAGATGAGAAAGTTACTATCTCATGGCCACTTGCTGTCAGAGTGGGCTTGGTGTCAAAACCATGCAGAACATTTTGAGTGCAAAATTCTATTGCCAGTGTGCTTTGTGTAGCAATGCCACAACTCATCCCTTCATTAAATGTTGAGAAGAAATGATAGAAAAGTCCCTGTCCTTGGCAAAAATATTTTTTTTAAAAAATCCTCTTTAATAGGGAAGTTATTGTTAATCAACAGCATCTTCAGAAAATGTTTTCAGAGACAAAAAATTACCAGAATGGAAGTATAAATGCTGGCCATGGGAATGGCTGTAATCCTACCACCTCAGAGGCTGGAGGATGATTGCAAGTTTGAAGGTGTCTTGCACTCATAGCCAGAACTTATTTCAAAACAACAGCATTGAGGCAGACAAGCTTAGAAATAGCTTAAAAACCTGGGATTTCACTTGGCTTGGGCTATACACACAACCCCCTCCCAGCAACTTGCCTAGCAACCTGGAACTTTCACCTGCTTTGAGTTTTACCCCACTTCAAACAATTGAACATAGCACTCTTCCCCTAGCAAAGCAATTGTTAACCCTCCTTTTTTGGCTCTTTCCCAATCTAGGATAAGTAGGAGCATAGCGGAGAACTAGAAGTTTGGGTTAATCAGCTAAATGGGTTTTGGAGGCATGTGCAGTTTGGCCAACTTTATCATCTGAACTTTTTTTTTTTTCTGTTGTTTTTGAGACAGGGTTTCTTTATATAACTCTGGCTGTCCTGGAACTCACTATGTAAACTCAGGATCACAGAGATTCTCCTGCCTCTGACTCATTTGAGTGCTGGGATTAAAGGTGTGTGCCACCATGCCCAGCTCTGAACTTTCAGGGAGAAAAAAAAAAAGCAACAAAAACAAATAAAAAAACACCTACTCACCACTTTATGCCTATGAATATTTGGGGCTCATTTGATTAAAATTAAGTATATCATGAAAACAGCATGTACATAGGAAAAAGCTTACATAATCCAAGCATGTCAGTCAAAATAGAGAGGGACACAATTACACCAAACTCCTCCTAGACACCATAGGAGTCCCTGGGCTATATCCAGGGGCCCCTAAATAAACTCAAGATTTGAGTTGTGCTGTCACTTTGTTTTTGAGTAAAATTCTCCAGGTAACAGGCCCTAAGCATAGAGGGCCGTAGACAGGGCAGTAACACTCAGTACCCTGTGCCTGTGATGAGAACAGTAGATAAAAGCAGATGGATAAGAGAGGGACCCCCGAAAACAGCAGTTTCACATTGTTCTCAGTTCTCTGCCAGAAAGGCGCTCTGATCTCTCCTCCTACACAAGCACCTGCCTAGAAGCTATATGTCACCATGGGAACCCAACCCCCTGTCCAGATGTTAGCCTTTCTGGTAAACATAGCACTGAAATTTGATCTCTAGATG